ACGTGTCATATTCGAGATTCATTAAAAACCTTAGTGTCCCTTTTTACCCTTATCCCTTGTTGCTATAAACTGATTAAACTCAAGAGGGATGTGTTAATTGGAGTAGTTTAATTATTTAAGAGTATAGGATCACAAGTCTGGTTTGATGACTTTATTTGTTGGCTTATTAGTCTTAGTATGTTTTTACTTGGAGTGAATTTTGCTGGTCTGAACTGGTAAATGTCCGGTCTTTGTGTTTTTTGTAACTATCCAAGCCTGGTCTGGTCTAGTCTGGGACTGAAAACAGTCTAAGTAAAAACACCCTTATTTGTTAATTTTTCAATATTGATTCCGGATGCTGAATTGTATATTAATCAAAATAAATAAGATTGAAGTTGTTTTTCTGGTTGAAAATACTATAGAAGATCATTTTATTTGTTTTTCATATAATTTTTATCTATTTTATTAATAAAATATACTATCTCCGTCCCTAAACACTCTGCCATCTTTGACTTTTCAAGTCAATGGTGGTAAAGTTTGAACCATGATTTTGATTAGTATACTATAATACTACTACGTATTTATGAAAGTGATAAGTTTTATACTTTTATGAAAGTACTTTTAACAAAGAATAATTTGATATAATTTTTGTATTATAAATAATTTCTTATAAAAATATGTAATTGGTCAAAGTTGAACATGTTTGATCGGAAAATTCAAAGTTGGCAAAGTAAAAAGGGATAGAGGGAGTATTTTGAATACAATATTTTCATAAATTGGAAGAATAAATTAATCCAACCACTTTAGTGAGAACTTCATAAACTTCAACACAATTAGTTGATTCAGTCAATTTGAGTGTTTTTAAACGCGCTCTTAGTGTTTTACTTTGGGGGGAATTATGCAAACGTTTTGATTTCTATGTTTTTGTGGAGTCCCACAATTCTCATCAATTTTATTACAAGGATTGCTTTTTTTCGTCAAAATAAACTACTTATATTAATATCATTAAGAATCAGATTGTTACAACAAACTCAAAAAAAATCCCGGACAACAACTATCCCTAACCAACTAACACAATCAACCTACGGCTAGATGCAGAGACGATCACCCCTGAAAGAGCAATAAGAATCGCTAACCACCAAACAGGTGTGGCACAACAATCAGTGGTCATATAGATCCTTCTAACGACATAATATCTAGCAGAATTGTCAATCATAATTATAGACCTAAAACTAAAGATATCAACAAAAAACAGAGCAACATAAAACATAACGTGAAAATAAAATCATAAAAAAATAAATAACTGATAGATCTCCCAAACCCTAGCACCTCGATCGCTCCAAGGCGGCGGTTCAGGAGGGAGGCGGACCGTCGGTCTGTCTTTTCCCTTGTTCAGCCCTTCACCTCTCCCCATCTTCTCGTTGCTTGTTCCGCCTCCACTACCACCACCGCCCTCTACTTATGTTGATTCTCTGGAAACTAACCCTTCGACCTCCTTCTCAAATGAAGAAATGAGATAACATTGCTCAAGATCATCCATATGATACATGATTATCGTTTCTTGGACCTTGGATTCGTTTCCAAAAGCTGCAGCCACACTCAAGCCTCCTTGAAAAGCACTCTAGAATGCTACAGAAGAAGGGCCGCACAAATAATTGGCGGAAAGAAACCTTACGTGACGGAAAAGTCGCTGATGAGACAAAACCCTACGCGACGCTAAGTCGCTAGGGAGAAAACTGACGAGCTGCTCCTCTTTTTGGCGAGACCTCGCAACCTAGTCAAAATTAGCCTTTAAAAGGGTTGTTTTGTGTAGTTGTTTTCCTCCTTTAATCATCAATTATAACGATATAACTTTACTTACTTAATAAGTGTGTCAAATCAAATTCAAAATATGTTTTTGGAAAAAATGCACCGTTAGAGTTATTTGATAATTATACGTTAAACATTTCCTCATTTGGTGTTAGATTTTTATTGTTATACAACAGTTTATTAAAATTCTAGTAGTGTAACAATCCCATTTTGTATGCATAGATGTATTCATGAAAGTGTAGAGGTTGTGTTCATTTCCCATTGGTTTATTGAGTTGGGCTATATAAAAGGAGTAAAGGACAAACATAGAAAACTTTCGCTCAAATAAATTCAAATACAAACTCTGATCAAAGCATTCTAAAACAAGTCTCAAACTATTAGGCCATGTAATGATGTAATGAACCCTGTAATGTAATGAGTATTACGTGTTGCTTCGAATATGATGTTTGGTATGTCATTTTATTTTAAATCGTAATGTAATGAGCATTGCATATGTGGAATTTATTACATTCATAGGTGTAATAAACTTACTTTGAAAAAGTTGTGTATTTGAGATTACCCATTATAGGGTGTATTTGAGATTAATGAAACCTAGAGGTGGACCGGGGGCGGGTCGGGATCTAGATCGGGCTTGGCGGGCTCCGGGTCCAAAATATGCAGGCCTGGTACCGGCCCGGGTTAGTACCGGGACTGGGTCGGGCCGGGCTTAAATTATTATTTTTTTATTTTGTCTTTACAAATTAATTTCCAACCCCCAAACCCCCCAGCTCCACCCAGCCCAATGGGGAACAATTGAAAAAAAAAGTTAATTAGACCCATACCAGCCCCGACCCGGCCAATCACCTTAAAATAGAGCCCGTAGCCTGCCTCTTTCAATCCCGGATCGGGTCACCGGGCCTTGTCCCGGTTGACCAGGATGGGACTAAATAGTATCGGGTCGGGTCCCGGGTCGGGCCGTCTCTTCCCAGTCTACCACTACTGAAACCTACCTCATCTACTTCCGCACTCATCCAGACATAACTTTGAGATAACATAAAACGTATGCAGTATATTAGTTTAGTTTTCTTTTATTGGCTTTCAAAGAAAACAAATACCGAGTAAAATAATACCTCGTAGTATGAGAACAAAAAAAGAAGAGTATGAAAGTAGAATGTTATAAATAAGTTGAAGTTTTTTAAAATAGAAATAAGTGATAATAAAAAGTAATAAAAAAGAGAATAAGGGTAAAGCATGTATTAAACATAAGAGTGAATTGCCTAAATAGGACAAAAAGTGGTCCAAGCGTACAAATAAGACTACATCTTTTAAATCCCCCCAGTAGGACTATTTATGTGTGTTTGGACAAATATACTCCTATAGCTTTTAAAATGTGTTAATTAATAACATAATCATAAAAAATAATAAAAAACACAAAAAATAATAATAAACGTATAAAAATAATAAAAATTTTATAAAATGTTTATAAAATAAAAAAATAAAATGTTTTAAAAAAAGTAAAAAAATTAAAAAATTGTAAAAATGCAAAAAAAGGCCGCCGCCTCTGCCACCCTAGGACCACCAGCTCCTATCACCAGTTGGAAATATGCCAACATTTTTAGTAATGTCATAATAATGGCATATTCAATGAGAATTTTGGCATTTTGAAGGGTAATAATGCCATTTTCTTGACATTTTAGGAAAAGTGGCATTTTTTTACAAAAAGTGGCAAAAGTGTCACCCATCGGAGCTGGTGGTGCTGGGAGGCGGTGGGAAAGGTATTCATATTTGTTTTATATTTGTTATGATTTTTATTATTTTTTATTAATTCAAAACAAATTCAAAAAAAATTAATTTATAAATATTTTATTGATTTTTTATAATTTAGTTTACAATTTTTTATTATTTCTTATTATTTTTTCTAATTGTATTGTTTTTTATGATTTTATTATGAATTGGGACATTTCATTATGAATTAATACCCCTTAAGGGTATTTAGGGTAGATTCAATGTTTAGTCCTACCTGGATGGAATTAAAAAGCAGTTGTTCTATTTGTACATTTTAGGTAAACTTTAGTCCTATCGAGAGCAATTTCTATGAACATAATTAGTACTCTCACCGTCCTGAAAAAAATCATCAAATTTACTTTTTTTGTCAATGACAATCAACTTTGACCGATGATATTTTTTAATACAGAATTATTTTGAATATGAAAATTATATCAAAATATTTCTTATTCAAAAGATTTTCATAAAGGTATAAAAATTATAAATTATATGCAAATATAATAATTAAAATTATTGTTTAAAGTTTTTTTATCATCAATAAAAAAAGTTAATATGATCAACCTTTTCGGGAAGCAAATAGTGTCCTTTGATCTATCAACTAAATTATAAATACTAGCTCCTTATTTCATTGAGCTAGAGCACACTATCACACACATCTCTCTCTTTACAGAAGTGGCTAGGCTGTAAAATCACAGACACAAAAGAATAAAACACCAAAATGGAAGAAGAGAAGATCCAACAATGGCATTACAAAGTTGCATTATAAAACTACACTAAACTCATTATATAGATAAACAAACATAATTATGTAATGTTGATTATATTTCAAAGTTGTTATTACTTAAGTAACCAAACATTGTAATGGAATAGAGACTTCATTCAATTACATTGCATTTTGTATTGCATTACGCACTTCATCCTATAACATTGCATTACATCATACCAAACATGGTCTTAGAGCAAAACCCTAAGCGCCAGTGGTGACCAAGGTCGGTTTTGAATCGGCAGGCATGGTGAATCACATGTACATGTCCTCTCCTTTGGTACTCCATTAGTTGATTTCGTTATTGTTTTTATTTTCCGGGCCTTGTTCCGAGGGTTTGTTCCGGCTCATGTGGCCGAGATAAGGTTGTTGTTCTGCTTTGTATTGGCTGTTGGGGTGCTTCTCCAGCATCGAGTAGGTAGTGATTGGTATTTTGTTGCCTTTGTTTTGTTGATTATGTGTGTGCTTTGTGGGTTGGTGCAGTTCTATTTTTGGTTGTTTTCAGGTTTGTCAATTGGAGATGATGACAAAGATTTTTTTTTTTAAAGAAGCAAAAACAAAACTAACACATTCCACCATTGGTCTTGTATGCTTAACAAAACAAAAATAAAAACAATAACAAAAGCAAAAAATTAAGGGACAAAGCAGCATCGTCCAAGTTCAAGCTAAACAACTCACTAGGTACATAATAATACCCCATAATCATTAAACCTTAATAGCATACTTTCTCAAAGGGAAATACATCTCTCTCTTCTTCTGTCTTTCTGTCTTTAAAGATGCCTGGTGCTTAGTGAGGCGTCTGCGGATGGCTCTGGTCTTCTTAGGACGTAGATCAAGGGGCAAGTACTTCTTGTTCTTGTAAGCTGTCCTTAGTGCGGCTTTCTGCGTCTGGGAAATCACAGTCAACACTTGAGCAATTGACATCCTCACCACCTTAATCTTGGAGAGCTTATTGGGGGCGCCGCCAGTGACCTTGGCGACTCGGAGAGAAGCGAGCTCCGTCTTCAGATCTTTCAGCTGAGTCAAAAGCTCCTCTTTCGACTTCTGCCTCAGCTCATGTACCTTAATCCTCGCCATTGCTCCTCCTACTCCGATGTCTCTCTGTTGCTCCGATCTCTCTCTGTTGTTAGGATGACAAAGAATTATAGTATGATATTCATCGCAGAGGAAGAGAACAGGGGATTGGTGCTAGCAACAGATCTAGAAGGGAGTGATGATGTGGTAGTGGATTTAATTGGAGAACCTGGTGGAGGTTGAAGTCAATATGGAGGTAGAAGAGATTGGATAAAAAAACAGTGTTACGACGGTGCTAATGAATGAGCACCGCCTGGAATTCCATTAGTCGCTGCAAGTAGGAGTTTTCCTTTGAAGGTGGCTGGACAAACCTCTTCTCCCTTCTATATGGCTGGTCAAATCGGAATGACATCTTTGGAAGTGGTAGACTAAACCTCTTCTCCCTTCCTGGTGGCCGGCAAAACCAGGACTTATGTTATTTTGTTTCTTTCTAGCTTTTGAACTCTAGTTTTTTATACTATTATCTTAGTAGCAAGTACATCGATTCTGTTAGAATAGTCGACCATTGTGCGGAGATAGTGACCTGGCACGGCCTTCCGGGGCTGGTCAGTTCTATGTCTGACTCCAGAGTTGCTCTGAGTTATTGCTCTGCTTTGTCTATGTTTCCTTTCATTAATATTAATAATGAGTGCTTTTCTTTCAAAAAAAAACTGTGATCAAAGAAATTGTTAATTTCACGGTTAGTAAATATTTACAAATTCTATACTTTTATAAAAGGACTTTGAATAGAGGACATTTTCACATCATTGTAATATTATAAACAATTTTTAATAAAAATATATAATTAGTCAAAGTTTTAAAGATGACAATATTTTTATAAGGAAGTAGTATAATATAGTAGGGAAAATAATTTAAATACCCCAAATTTTAATAGGGTGCGAGATAAGTACTCTAAACTTGCATATGTAATATATATACTCAAACTTTATATAAAAAGTTATTTTAGCACCATGATTGTATCTTTTTTACAAAATCAAATTTAATGTAATAATAATTACAAAATTTAAAATACTCTAAGCTATGTTATAATGTAGTTAACATTCTAAAATTTTATTTCTAGAACAGGTAATATTATGTCCAGTGCAATTTAATTTTAATTGCATCCTCATAAATGTTTTGTGTATTTTAAATTACTTACCTGAAACCATAAAATTATATTTGTGAAACACATATGATCATGATGATAATATACCTTTTTATATAAAGTTGGGGTATATATTACATGTACAAATTTGGGGTCTTTATATCATACATCTTCAAAGTGTGGAATAATTAAATTATTTTCCTCAATATGTAAGCACCCTGCACCCCACATACCCATGTTTTATTAAGCAACATTGTAAGCATTTTTAATTGACAAGTATCTAAAAAACTTATAAACATGAATAGAGGTGAGGGTATAATAGGTATATAAAAAATGTTGGTGTAATTTCTAGCTGTATGAGGTAGTACTCATGTATAAAGGTATTGTACGGTTAAAATTTATTTCTAATTAGACCGTTTAAGGCGTTACACACTTACACGGCGTTATTTATATATACGGAGCATGATTATTCACGGAATAACTCAGTCATCCTAGACGGTCTCGATCCTTGATTTGTCAACACGGTCTCTTAAGGTTTGCCCGACTGAGTTCAGTAGAGATAAGGTTTTGATTTTTCATTAGCCCTGATTTAAGTATTGATGCAGGCTTAACATTTAAAATTTTAAATAAATATTCATAAAAAACCTCTCACTTCCCTGGGAAGTATCTGACAAGCATACCTTATGCATATACTACTCCTATTCTGCTATAAGATAGGTATGGTGACTGCCCGGCTAAAGCTTGCCATTTTTTTAAATGAATTTTTTTACTACAATTTGATTTCCAGGACAACGTTGATTTCATGTCATGAATAAAATGGGTTTAATAAAGAGGCTTTCAATTTGTTAGTGCATATGACTTCTATTGGGATTAGTATAGATCATGTTGTGGTGATCTGTGTGCCCATTTCAATCAAATTAGTCACTTTTTTTTATAACAAACTATGGGAAAAAAGAGGACATGTTGTCGGGAGAATGTGGTATTTTCTACATATTGTCTCTTTCTTTCCAAGTCCGTATACTGAGAGCGGTACCAATTCTTTTCAAGCTAGCACTTAACTGGTGTTTGATATCTGAAGGTAGAATGTTCCAAAGGGGCTTCAGATTACATGTTTATGTTCACAATACTTTGATTAATGTGTATGTAGTGAGTGATCACATGGCCACATGGGTAATGCCCTGAGGGTATTTGATGAATGTCCTAACTTGGTTTTGTTGAACTCGATCTTTCCAGGGCATGTTCAAGCGGCAATGTTGAGACATGAATGCTAATTTATGATCAAATGCATGAGAGGATTTCGATTGTCTCTGACTATGATTATGCTATTAGATAGGTATGATGACTATGTGGTTGAAGGTTGACATTTTTTTTAATGAAATAGATGACTACAATTTTATTTTCGATGGCGTTGTTTCTTGCCATGAACAAAAGGGGTCTAATAAAGAGGCTTTTGATTTGTTAGGGCATGTGACTTCTATTAGGTTATTGTAGATGATGTTGTGGTGATCTTTGTGATTTGAACTTGTGCATGCTTCGATGTGAGATGGCCACTAAGGTTGGATTTTTTCATTTGAATCATACCAAACAAATACACCCACTATTTGAGGAAATCCCATTATTAAGGTCACATAAATTATATTGGGCATTTTATATATCGCGCAACGCGCGTAACATAACTAGTATCCTATATGCAGATGAAAGTCACCGAAGTACCTCACCCCATCCACCACCCCTTATCCTCAACCCCTTACCCCACCTCTACCCTCACCCATAGTCCCAACACTACCCCACCCATGATCAATAACCTCCCCTGCCCTACACCCTAATCTCACCCTAACCCAATCCTACCTCACTAGTGGCTGAGCTAGTGGGCTAGAGGTTTTGTCAGGGGTATGAATGGCTAAAAGTTATCTCATACTTGTTCAAAATGTAATAATAACAACGAAAACATACTACCTCTGTCCCCCTAAGTTTGGGACAAAGGAGTGTTGTGTGGTTTTTAAGAAAAAGTAGAATTGTGTGGTTTCTATTAAATTGATAAAGTGTGAATAAAGTAAGAATGAATTCTAACCACTCAAATATTACCAAATATGGTATGAGACAAACTTAATGGGACGGACGAAAAAGGTAAAACGGGACAAAGTTAGGGGGACGGAGGGAGTAATACATAAGCACGAATTATAGTTCATTACATATTGTTTTTACTAGTTGACGAATTGTTTTCATTACATAAGCACGAATTATGTTTTTACTTGAATTGAATTTTTATGGTCTGATCTGATCTAGTCTGGTCTGATAAATTCATAGCCTATGTATATTTTATAATAGTCTAAGTTTGGTCTTGCCTGGTCTAATCTGCGACTGAAAATAGTCCAAGTAAAAGCATCCTAAATCAATCCTATGAGTTTTTATATGTTGCATAATAACTTTATTGGAATTATTACAGTATGTCGCACCCAATACTTGTATTCATGAAGACACGTTTCTCGAAATCAAACACTTTATACCTTTGACTTGTGAAAGAAAACAGTAATGTTCTAGCATCGTTGTGTGCAATACCCACACTTCTCACGGGCTCTTTATTTTTCTCATGAACCTTCTTCCAATTACGAAAATCAGTATTCACAAACACATAATCTCCAAATCATTTCTCTTCTTTCCCTTGAAAAAGGCAACACCAAAAGCAAAAAACAGGAATCCTTGAAAACACCTTAATATAATTCTAAATGAAGTTCATGAATAATTATAAGATAAAGATTTACAAGCACCTTTAAAAACATAGTCTTTCCCCACATCATCTCTAACCGCATACGAATATTCAGTTTGATTGGCTTTCGCAATATTGGATAACTAATAATATCACACTTATGTGTATTTCCCATTCGGGCTGGCTTGATCCTCCAAATATCATTACGCTCATCTCTAATAACATTTTGATTTGACATACTAGCATTTTAACACCAGAGACAGATTGATTAGGAATGCTCGGAGAACAATCTCCTCGAGTCAAAGATATATTAGTCAAAAATATACAGTAGTAGTAATTTTGATTGCTTAAAGAAATTAATATTTTCTTTGAGAAAAGGGGAGACATTAATTATATTATAAGTAATAGTATTACTCCCTCCGTCCCATAAAATAGTTCCCCGTTGAATTGGATCGATGTTTAAGAAAGTGAGAATAAAGTGAAAATGTATGGTTATGGTTGAGTAAGAAAAACGTAAATGAATGTGAACCACACAATCCTTTCCAAAAAGGGAAACATGAACTATTTTTTGGGACGACCAAAAAAAGGAAACCGGGAACTATTTTGCGGGATGGAGGAAGTATTTTTTTGGCACAAAGCAGGCACACTTTCCCCCATACCAGATCAAATCAGACTTAAACAAACCAGATTAAACGAAATCATTCAGAAAATGAAAGTCAAATCAAAAGCATCCTCATGGTAATGTGGGTAAAAAAAATATCATATTCTCTCATCCAATTGGACTTTGCAAACTTTATGTTTTGTTCCAAAATCTTTGTAATTTTCCATTAAAATAACTAATTCATGATTCTGTTAATTTTTTCTCTTCTGCACATATCTCAATCTCACAACTTTTATTTTTCATATTTATCATCTAATTTGAAGTCGACAAAGTCCACTAGAATAAAGGTAATACAAACTTACTTGAAAAAGTCTAAAACAAAATTTAGATAGAATAGAAAAGAGAAAAGTCCTTTTATAGGAATAAAACATAAACAATGTGCATATATTAAACTATCATTGTTTTTCTCGAAATAGGACTTATTTTCTCCTAAAAGGAGAAATTTTATACTTTTAATAAGATCAAATAAGTCCTATAAAGGGAATGAAATACATTTAGTCTTATTTGTGCATTTTGTCTAAATTTCAAGATGTTTTTACTTGAACTAAAATTTTCTGGTCTGATCAGATCTAGCCTGAACTAGTCTGGTCCGGTTTGATAAATGTCTGGTTTTGT